GTTGAAATTATAGACCCAAATTTATATAACCGTGAATATCGATGCTTGTTTACAGTTGCTACCGGGACTTGTATAATTATGCTATATCTTTATCAGCAACGTGGCGAATCACATTTGTTATTGTCAATTGTTAAGATTTGTTTTCAACTTTGACTGCTATTTTTCTCGCAATCTCAACCGGATTGATATTTATTCAAGAAAACACGAAAACTGAACGTTATTACTAAAGTTATTGTTGAGTTTGAGCATCCTGAAATTTCGAAAAATTTACAGCCAAACATTCATTAATTTTGAATAGTCGTTTTCTTTTTTCCAATTTATGCAGTTTTCTACAATTACTGAGATTTTTTTGTGTAGAGGCAGGGCCGGGTTTGGGATTCTGTAGGTCCTGGGGAAACGAAGGAGTGGAGGCCCTGTAATTGTTTTTTATAAAAGTTGAATTTTTAACTTTCCGCTAAGAAAATTGAAAATTTTCTAAAAACCAAAGATGACCTGCAGATTCTATCGTTTTTCGGTATAAATTACAAATTATACGTTGAAAAAAAGGGTTGCTACTGAAATGCTTGATCATATCAAAAATTGATAGTAAATGTAAACTTGCCAACAGGGATTTCTGATATATTGATAGCAATATCATTGTTTGTGCAAGTATTCTTAAAGTGGAAATGCAAAAAAACAGTTTGGCAAGAAAAATAAAAAATTGCTGACCCGTCAAAATTGGGATTTTTTAAATCTTTATCGTGGGGGCCCCTCTCCTGTGAAGGCCCCGGGACAGTAGCTTCGTCTGCCCTTCCTTAAATCCGGCCCTGTGCATAGGTATAGTGCTTATTATCATGAGGTATATGTGTGTTCTCCAATGTTGTGTTGTTTTTTTGATTAAATTTCTGTTTCAGTTTAGAATCTGTTTCTCCGTTAATCAGCTGCCGCTCCCATACGAACGACAACTCTCAGAAGTTGAGAAACTTATGTGAGCTAAGGACTAACGAGGTCTTACCTTTTAACGTGTGATTCCTAAACAACTTCATTCAATAACCCGAAATACAGGCTAGTACTTGTTACCATCGTTTCTAAACTTCGGAATTAGTCTTCGAAATAACTAACCTACAACTTGATCATTTATAAACTAGTGAATAATCTGATTGACTGTCCCGAACTACTCTCCCACTTCAACTTTTATGTTCCACAAATCAATTCTAGAAATTAACTGACTTTTTATCTACCAAATTCTAGAACAAACATATTACTCAAGTCACTAGTTGTTGCAATGAGCAAACTTTACAATCAACTCTGTGAAAATCTCGACATCTATTATGAACCTATTGGTCAAGTTAAGAACCACGTTAAGAAACTTTTACACTCTAGTCAAAATACATGACCCCAAATTGAAAGTTATTCTACCATGTGAACTTATTACTACTACTGTATTACTGCTGTTTTTTTTTTGTAATACACCTGAACTATGTTTTTACTTGTTAGCTCCATATCTGACTAAAGGTTTTTTTCAATTACTCTCCTAGCTTGTTGTTTACTCACTTCAGGTGTTTCTAGTTGATAAATTAGTATTATATTCATGTATATTTGTATGTATGTATGTATATATGTATATGTATTGTGTGCATATAAGCAGATATAAACTGTAACATGTTTGTTGATAATACTAAATGTCTTGTTATTGGGATTTATTCCTGTTTAGACATTAAACAATAATTTTTTTTGATGCGTTCGTTTCCATAGTTAGGACGATTATTCTAGTATGTCGATCCCTTCTTACGTTTTACTATCCCCTCTGAGGCAGTTCGTCCTACTATTATCACAAGTTGCCATGGTGACGATTAACGTTAAGATAATTGTCTAGTCCTTCAGTAATATTAATGGAAATGGTCCAGCCTTCATTTCCTTTTCTCTTATTGAAACTTCACGGTTTTACACGAAATATTATAACACGTGAAGCTTGACTTAATTCCGTGAAAATTAAATGTAATTCCGATTATTTCAGCCATTTCTGTGAAGTATATCATAAACTCGACCAAAAAATTAGTTCCAGTAACAGTAATTAAGTAATTCTGAACAATTCCCTTCTCTATGGATTGAAAAATATTTGTATATTATAAAACTGAACTGAAAGTAAGAGACGTGATGCATTTCAGTATTTTGCAAAATTAATTTTAAATAGAATTGGCAAGTGGAGTTGCGAATGATAAATTGGTGGATGCTGTTTTTATTATGTATGGATTTATATAACATAATCATAAGATATAAATGAACTGACTCGATTTGGCACTGGTTGGTTCGAATTTTTGATGGCAGTAACCTGGTATATAGTTTGTGAATGATGTCATCGATAAACTAATTGCTAGTAAAAATGTAACTTATAAAAAGCCACAAAGAATGTTGGTTATATAGTGTCTGTAGACAAGCAGCGTTTGAAAAATTAAAACATGTTGGGAATGAAAAACATTACATTTTTGAAGGTTATGAATCGATAACCTTTAGAATGTGTATTAACAAAGGAAATCATGGGAAAATTTCGTTTGTCATACTTTAATATTCATTCATTACTATATACTCACTTATTCCAAGGTCGCCGGTGATAAGAAACACTTTCAGCTGTGTTTCGACTCGACAAAAACTAGTCAATGTACAGTGACTCATTCATAACGTGTATTTACTAATTGTATCCGAAATTATTTGAGTTTATTTTTTGTGTTTTGAAATGAAATTGTGTCATTGTGTTATCTGTGCATGACTTTGATCTTATCAATGTGGGTGCGTGATATTTGTCCCTCCGTCAAAAAAAAATTGGATTCCACTATATCATACAAAATCTAGTTTACTGCCAAAATGTTTAAGAGTCCAATAGTTTCAACATTTATTATTGTTACTGCCTAAAACTGTCTCTAATTACATTTTGTTCGTTCTGTAGGCTTATCCAAAGTCGATGCCTTAATAATTCAAAATACGCTCAATACTTGTCGCTTTCTCTTGGAACTGGTCTTCAAACTAATGTATCTACAAATTGATACCTCGTATACTTACCGTGATCGAAGGCTATCGAAAATCCTTCAAACTCTTTACGTTCATTGGAGAATAATTTTTGTCACCATGATGTCGATGAAATCGTGATACATTTGCCAACTCCGTTGTTCTATTGTTTGTTTGCTCTCCTTGGTTGCTCCGCCATGGGCGTAACATTACTTGTGAGTTAATATGTGATTATTTGAATATTACTGTAGTTTTTTCCCAGCACCAAACCGTTATTTCAACACCTCGATACGTGTTTCGATCACCAAGTGGTCATCTTCAAGAGGAAGAATCAATCTGAAGATGATCATCCTTAAGTTCCATGCACATTGCGACAGGAAGGAAGGAAGTATAGTCAAAGTAACCGATAAAGTAATCTTGAAGCTATCGGCGAACTCATAGGCCAAAAAAAAACAATACAAAGAAATAATGCCGCTACGAATTAGTCCACGTGGACTGAAGAACTGACGGTTGGGATCAGCTCATCAAAGTACCGAATAAAAATACGAGGAAAGATGAAATATAAAGTTTTTTTATGGATAACAATTTGTATTCTGAAGATTACTATACCAAAAACCAACTACTTGAAGTTTTACAGGCAAAAACATTTGAAAAAGTGTATGCCCTTGAGAGTATTGCTGAAAAGTATGGACACGCCATATTGAGACTTCCCCCCTATGTTTGTGTTTTCAATACCATTGAGTTGATTTGGGGAAAATTGAAAGAAAGCATCAGGCGTAAAAATAATTATCCAAAATTTGATAAGAAGGTGATAGAGCTAGTTAAAGAAGGATTATCTAATATTACCGAAGAAGAATGGCAGAAAAGATATCTTTCCCCGTAGAGTTTCAGATTTTTTACCGAAACTATGTCAACGTTCGTCATAGTAACATTCTAATTTATACCGGGCCTAATACTTACGCACGCTTAAATTTATTTCCGTGTCCTTGACAGGAACTAATTTCGGACGAAGTGTTTACTCATCTAGGCCGATTTTACGTCACTCTTAGATAGGTATTCCAGTGAATGAACTAGTCGAATATAAAATTCGGTTTACACCGATGATTAAGAACTCCATTCATCTTTATTTGCTAACTGCCAGCAAACAAGATAAAAATAAGTTCGTGGATGGTATGACGAAATACGTTCTATCGAGGGAATTCACAATAATTTGTTTTCGTTAAGAAAATCTTTCGTTGAATTATATCAGTCGTATGGTTTACCAGGTAATCGTTCGATATCATCATTTTGTTTGATAGGAGTCGCACTTTAGAATGTTGGACCTCGTTAATCACTGGCTCGCACATTTTTCTACTGTTAAGGGTTGTCGTTCGTGGCGGGGGGGGCAGCTTGTTAACGGGAAACCATATTTCCAAACTATAGATGGTAATAATTGAACAAATGACTATTACAACTCTAGGCTACAACTCTTACATACGAGGGTGGTCCTAGAAGTTCCCTGCCCAACAACGAAAACACAAACATTTTGCTTCCTCCAGCTTTGACAACTGAGGAAGCTAAGAATGTATTATTTTATGTGTTACACAATAATCGTTATTTTCTAAATTTCAAAACGTTATTTGAACAAGTTGGACAACTTTTTCATTGTCAAAACGGCTTTGTATGTGTAGCAGATGAAACAATTTTTTTGTATGTTTCTAAAAAATCTTCCGAAGTTATTTCCAAGTGATAATTCATTCTGAGACTTGAGGATTGTATTGTATAGCGAAACACGTGTTGCGTGTTTTGTAAACTGGCCAGTGATAGTCTCGGAATGAATTATCATGAAAATCACTTCGGAAGATGTTTTAGGAAAATACAAATACATTGTTTCATCGATCAATTATCATGAGAAGTGCTAGAATGTTTCTATTGATTGAAGAAATAGACAAACTCTGTTTCGTAGTAATTTCAAAAACTACACCATAATTGGTTATACCAACGTCATTTGAACTCATCACACATACAAAAAATATACCTCATGATTTGATCCCCACAAACTTCATTTGAAAAATATATCACAACATGTTTCGCTAGCACAGTAGCTTTATCAAGTTATTTGGTCTTTATAGCACAAACATTCCTCTGTAGCTTACAGATGATGTTTTGTTGGAAAATTTACATTGGATTCTATTAATAATCTTGTATAATTTCGTGTTCTTGCACAATATTTAACCTGTAAATTCTTGCGAAATAGTAAGTATGGAATGTACTATTAATAGAACCCAGTTGTTCGTAGTCTAAAGTTAGAAAACCACAATATGGAAACTATTATCAAAGATAAAGTTATTTTTATTAATTAGCCCTGATATCTGTAGTTATTTCCACACAAGATCCATGTGAGGTATCTTGCATAAATGTCTGTCGCTTATAATTCATTGCCCAGCGTGGTATTAGACGGGGAAGTAGTTGTGTATATTGTAAACAGTATATGCTTCATTATGATTTGTATGTTCCTCCTTTTCATATTTTTTTTCTTCACTTATTCGAAATAGAGATGTGAAGGTAGATTTTAGAAACTTTTACTTCCAGTTTTATCTGAAAAAAATTACTGTGCATAGTCTGCATGTAACAGTGCATGGGTATCTAATCTTGATTCTCACGAGTTTGTGTTTCCATTTTTTTTTGCAAGCAGCATATCTTATAATTTCCAATTTTTATAAAGTTAGAAATTTCCAATTTTTATAAAGTTAGAAATTTCCAATTTCGAACTAAATCGTAGTTTTTCGTTTCATTATTAGCAAATACCAAGAATTTTTGAGAGTTTTGTAGTTTTAAATAGAAATATTGATTGCGGTTAATTTATAAATACTGTAAGTATCTAAAAATAAAATTACAGTGATTCGAATGGGAAATAGTTGTAATGAAGCCAAATTTTGATTATGAGAATATATTAACTAGATATTTCAGTTGAAAGTCACTGAAATTTTGATTGATAGGTGTATGTAAGATAACTTGTGAAGTTTACTTGGTATTTTTTATAAATTTACACGTTACTTCAAATTACTGCTTATTTCTGGATTCACCAAATTGTTCTCAGTTAGATTCCTTCTACGCGAACTTTGTCATTATTTATGTGTCACCATCATCACTGGATTCTTACAGAATAACAACAAGGAATCGTTATTGATTTTATTTTCGACTAAATTATCGTAGAATACTTACCTGTTCTTATTCTTTAGCATGTCCTGCATGTGTCTGGTATTCAACGCGAGACAGTCNAATATAGGTCCGCAGATCCTTCGTTCTCAAGATACAGGGTGTTAAAATAAGTCCAGTGGCGTCTCGCAGATTCTTATCGTTCCACTATCCGTTTCTTTCTAAAGGCTTCTCTCTCGCATTCGATTTTGATGAGCGTAGAGCGAGGAGGTATTTTTCAACCGTTACTTTTCTGGAAATGTTTTTTGTTTGGGAAGTGATTCATCCTTTGTGGGTATAAATGTATTTTTTTTTGGTTGATTGCTCAGTGTGGTTTTCATCATCGATGACTGAGTTGTACTTGTACCGCAATCGAAATCGTCATCCTGTTTTGCTGGCTGCAGGCGATTTTTTTTTTGGAACAGATGGTCACTTGAAACGGTTTTCTATTCGGATGTAGGTAGTATGGCCGTTTTATTGATGCAAATGGGAGGTGGGGAAGACAACATCCTTTCAAAACGGTGCTGTAGCCATTTTCTATTGATTCAATATGACGTCATGATGGAAATGTCTAAGAAATGTCTGTGCCAGTGAAAAAAAAGGCTTTGAAACTTCTATTTTCATATAATACGTAATTTTTTCACCTGCTTTTCATCTACGAAACTTTTGTTCATAATCTGAACAGCTCTGTGAAGAGTTCAGATTGATATATTTAATGTTTTATTATTTCCTTCTTCACTGGCGATATACAGGGTGAGCCATCGAAAACTTGACATGGAGATTTTGGGTACTAATCTTGCAAATCCTAAAAAACGCTCAGACAGGTCGATTTTTATTGGGAGGGGGAGAGTTTTTTCCCCATTAACAGCGTCGTTACCTCAACCCCGGAGCAGAGGGGTGAACAACCCTTGAACTGGAGGCGAGAGAACAAAAAAAAATTCCCAACAAATCCCTAATCTCTCTTAAAAGTAAAATATTATTTTCTTCACTGGCAAAACAGAACAAAATTTGATCTCTCAAATACCTAATTCAAAAATACCAAATACTATTTATTCTCTTCCATGAATTTGAAACCAATCCAGGATTCGATAAAACGTAATGAGTGAAATATGATTGAAATGCCATTGAATTACAAATTTTATAGGAATCATTATATGCAGGAAACTTCCTAAACAGATGTTTTGCCTAGATTATTCAAAAATATTTTTAGAAACTCCTTTTTACTACCTATCCAGTATTACCCAATTTTCTGTATACTAATACTATCTAATAACATTTTTTTAGTGTTCACTTTGTAAAAATAAACTGCTGTAGGCATTTTCTTTCGTTAAAAAAAAGTTACGAGAAACCTGGTACTTCAATAACATAACCTCATCTCGAAACCCAGTCGCTGCACTCCGTTTCTCTGTTGAAATGATAGGCATTGACCCTAACGATAAATGAATAACTGCGGGCGGAGTTGTAGTAACGTACAGCTCGCGAGTAGTGGGAGAACCTTTTCGTGATTGGCTTACGCGGGTCGGCCATCTTGGCGAGTCTCCCTCTCTTAAGTTTCAAGCGTACAACACACTCTTGAAGTTGAGAGGGAAATTCTCTAAAAGTAACAGGGAAGACGGAGATGAAATACGTTGACTGATGAAAGACGTTTTCCGCAGAGAGAGGGGGCTATGGTTGCGAGCGTGAGCATATAATCCGAGTGGTGGGGAGGTTTGTCAGGCGCAGCAAGTTCTATGCTGGAACTGCTGGTGGGAGATTCAGCGTTTCAGTCACATTGCATATTGAGCGACTGAAGGAGAAGGGAATATGCTCGTAGATGTGAGATGGAAACCTAGTTTCGTATTGTCAGGTTATGAATTGTTTACTATTCTGTGCTTATGACACGTTCAGGACCAATCCTGGGCAATTATTGTACTTTTTCTGTGTAGGAAAGTTTTTCCGTTATGTCGGAATCCACGACTGACGTGTAGTTTTTGGTTACATATGTATTTTCCATGGGTTTAACATTCCAGGCTATTGCGCCAGTTTTCACAAGTAATTCAAAATTTTATTGGCGGACACAACAACATTGAAGTTCAAGGTTTTTTAGTAGTGGAAAAATTCAATTGTAAACATCTGCAGACCTAGGAGTGCCGTGAAAATTAGTCTGTTATTGATTTCTCATAATGTAGAGATACGTTAGAATGGAATATTGAAACGCATTTTCTTTTTTCATTCGTGTTGGTACTTTCCTGGAGTTTTCCTCAGCTCGAGAATCCACCGAGATAAAAAACATTTGACTTCAGCAAAAGTTTACTTTTACCTGTATACATTTTCTTGTATAGCTTTTTGTTGTTTCTTATAGATGTGTTATAATATGCACAGCTTGTTAAAACTAGGAAGAGACTTGAGAATTCTATCTCACTCTCTCACGCAGTCTTCTAACGAACACATATCTTAGGGGAGGTTAAGCCAAGACTTTGAAGTCACTTGCTAGATAAGCTGTACCTACTTCGAAGAATATCATGTACATAGACCTAAAATAATATTATTTTTATATGGAAATTATTTTTTCCATTACCGTCTGAGGGACCTATGACAGACTTACAAATAAATATTTGATGAAGACTCGTTAATGGATGCGTGTTGCTTTCCGCTTTGTTGTACATCGATAATCAAAATAAGATATTCGCCAGACGGGTATTTGAATGATGAAAAATGTATTTTGTTGAATTAACAAGGAGAACGTGACACAATTGGCCGCTAGACCGATTTACATTGTCGGCATTTGCATTTGTAATTGTTTGTCGCTTTTCTGGATGTTTCCAATGGAAATATACTGTTTTTTTCGCCCTCTCCGGAACTTCCGGAATAATATTTTTTATCTGTGCGACTGCAGTTCTCACGCCAAATTACCATTGTGATCGATCGAATCATTTTTGCATGCCATTTTGATTAACGATGCCGATTTGCCTGTTGACGCCGTAGAAAATGGAATTTGCTTTATGGTACTTGCTACATTCGATTAATTTGACTCCAGATATTCACTAATTGATGTCTGATTTGATAAAGAAATGTCACAATTTATCCTAATGAGTGGTTTATTCGTAAAACTATTCATTTGTAGTATAATTCATCTTTAATGTTGTCAACTGATCACTATCGACCAGCTGATGAGATCTTACAGGAGTTATACTCGTATATGACTTACTCAAGCAATTATTATTATTATTTTGAAGCCGGAAATTCATGTGTCACTCAAGCAGTTACTCATGTCTTACTCAAACAATTACTTATGCCTCACTCAAGAAATTACTTCCGTCTTACTCGAGCAGTTACTCATGTTTCACTCAAACAATCACTCCTGTCTTACTCAAGCAATTACTCATATCTTACTCGAGCAATTATTATAGTTATTTGAAAGCAGAAAAATTCATGTCCTTAAACAATTACTCGTGTCTTACTAAAGCAGTTACTTATGTCTTACTCAAGAAATTACTTCTGTCTTACTCAAGCAATTACTTATGTTCTACTCAGCGATTTCTTATGTCTTACTCAAGCAATCACTCGTGTATTACTGAAGCAATTACTTATGCCTTACTCAAGAAATTACTCCTGTCTTACTCGAGCAGTTACTCATGTTTCACTCAAACAATCACTCCTGTCTTACTCAAGCAATTACTCATATCTTACTCGAGTAATTATTATAGTTATTTGAAAGCAGAAAAATTCATGTCGTAAAACAATCACTCGTGTATTACTGAAGCAATTACTTATGTCTTACTCAAGAAATTACTCCTATCTTACTCAAGCAATTAGTCATGTTTCACTCAGCAATTACTTATGTTTTACTCAAGCAATCACTCGTGTCTTACTAAAGCAATTACTTATGTCTTACTCAAGAAATTAATCCTGTCTTACCCAAGCAATTACTTATGTTTTACTCAGCAATTACTTATGTTTCACTCAAGCAATCACTCGTGTCTTGCTAAATCAATTA